CCCCCCCTCCACTACACCACTGATGTGCCTGCTCAAAAATGCAAAATCTTGCAAGCCTGTGGACACAATACTGAAGTGAAGAACGTCAGTAGATTTAGATGTAGGAATTTTTTTTTGAACATGTACATTCTTTTTTGCATGATATTTTTTTTCTCGATTGTATGCTGCATGATTTTTTTTTTCTTTCTCCTTGGATTGCAGAAATCAAATGGTCCCCTCAAAAATCAAATGGTCCGCCCCTAAGATATAAATCATAAGAGCTATATTTATATTTGACCAATGAGTGGTCGCCGCAATTCCTGTCGCTGTGTTCGAAATGGAGTCGTTCATCGATAATATGCTTGGATCAGAAGTCGATAAAAAGGCCGTAAGCGCTGCCGTGCGTTTATTAGAAAATCAGCTAGTGTCCCCATCGGATGGCCGTTTGTCCGGCGCAAAATATACGACGAATAGTTTGCCACATTCAATTGATTCAAAGCGTTCAAATCAAGTTTCGGCCTCAAGCAATTCGCGCCAAATTGCAACAGGTTCACCAACTGTCACTGGAAAGTCATCGTATAACAGTAATTCTCGAAGCAATTTTTGTTCCAGTACACCAAACATCTCACCAATACCGGTTGTAACATCGACCGTTTTACCAGATGGAAATCGCAGTACGAGGGGGCAATTTATATCTCGCGCCAAATTGGTGTCAACTGCTATGTCGGTACCAAGGACCAACACACCACAAATAACAGTTCAGTCGCCGCAAATTCATAGTATGCAGCAAAGTGGGTCGACCCAAAGGAGGACTGCAATTAAACAAGAACAAACGTCATCAAAGCAGCCACCTGCATTATTAAACAACCAGCATATACCTGGAAAACCTGTCTTGAACCATGCAATGGTTATGAGAAATAAATTTGCAAAAACAATTGCAAATCATTTACCACAAAGTACAGCGATTAAATCAGTGAGTACAATTCTAACTCAGCACAGCAATACGACAGCTGTCCAAAACTATGCTACAGCAATACAAGCACAGTGGGTTAGTAATCGAACAAAGGAACGAGCTGCGAAGTTAGAATCATTCTTTACAAGGTTAATAACCTTAGCGACTAGTATATCACCAGAGATTGGTAAATATGTTCAGGAACTTATAAAGGCTCTTGTGGTAAGAATAGGGGATTTTTAGTCTACCACCTCTTTAAATTTGTGCTGATTACTTATATGGTGTTACTTAAATTAACAAGTTCTAAATGTATGAGGCTCTAGAGCTGCTCCCGATTAATCAATCAATCGATTATTTTTTTACAATTGATTATGCTTAACAGTAATCTGATTATCTATAACACCACACAGTGTGACACGGGAATGAGTTACTGTAATTTCTTTTCAGATTAAAAAAATTGTGATGAGATATTTGTGATAGAAACATTAAATGACAAATTGATTCAAAGCATTGTGGGTAATATCAATTTCACTTGCAGCATGCAAAGTTTACCATAGTCTGATTGGGTATTTTACCAGTGCTGTGAAAATATCTTTAAAGTTTTATTAGAAGAATTAATGGGTCATTCCAGAAAAGATCCATACTCCCCCCACAGAGGAAATTTCTGCTGTCCGGAGGGGAGAAAAAATTGCTTCTGATAATAGTAAATGTATTAGGACATCCGAAGGGGGTAGGGGGGTTAACTTCCTATTTACTCTGTCGGGGTGGTATGGATGTTTTCTGGAATGACCCAATATAATCATTGCATCCAACATTGCGGCATGCGGACAT